AAAATAAAATAATAGTGCGACTCAAAACATTAACGAAACAGGACTCTATCCTAAAAAATATTAACAAAGAATCTTACATGAATTTTCACGATTCCACGAGACATTGAAGGTAAAAGCCTATTGATTTTGTGACGATTTTTGTCTTATCTTGCAAAACAGCCTAAAAACCGTAATAGTTAGTATTTACAACATTATTATTTTTATAAAAATGTAAGCCTTTTTTTTTTTTTTTTTTTTTGATTAATTTACAAATTTGTCTAATTTGCAATTGAGGGCACATTCTTGGTAACGACGCGCAGTCAGCAACTGCAAGTCCTGAAATCAACCGGCGGCCCTTTGTCTCTCTCTTATCTCAGTCAGAGAGAAAGTCAGAGGAGTGAGAAACAGTACAGAAGAGAGAGAGAGAGAGAATGGAGGTACAGTGGATTCTGGTGTGCCATGGTTTAGTCACACTGCTCGTTCTAGTCTCCTTCCTCTGCGGCCAATGGCCCATCTTCGACGGCACCCCCATCCAACGCATCAACCACTTCCTCACCTTCGGCGCCTACGATTACTTTCAGTTCAGCATCCTCTCTCTCTCTCTCTCTCTCTCTCTCTCTCTCTCCTCCCCTCTCTCTATCTCTCAGATTTAATTTCTGATCTTTTTTGCGCAGACGGTTTGTTGGGTTTGTGTTTGGAGCCAGGGGGACAAATGCCATAGCTTCCGCGGAGTATTTCTGCTGCGATCGACCCAATCCAATCTTACAGGTTCCTTCTTTTTCCCAGCAACAGAATTGAATTTTACTTTTGTGATTGAAATTTGAAGAATTTTGGAGAAATTTGGGTTCTGGTTGGTTGAATTTGTTCATGAAGTTGTAATTTGTTTGGGAATTGAAATTGTGGGTTCAGTTATGGGATCATTCGGGTTCACGGTGTTGTTACTTTTGGTTAAAGTTGAACTTAGTTTTATCGGATGACTCAGCGAAAGAGATGCGGAACAGAAGTGGTGGCTTTCCTAAATCAATGGGTGTTTTAGTATTTTAAATTCTTGGTGAGAGGCTGATTCCAGTTATCCTTTATTGTTGTTTTCATTAAGGTTTCTGTACTTTCGCTTCCGCTAAAATATCTAAATTCCGCTGCCCAACTCTATCCTACATCAGAAAGGTTTTGTTTTTCGCTTTTATATGCATTTGCAATGGGATTTTTGTTCCATTTGGTAGTTGCATTTTGTTGAATTTCTGGTTATCTAGTTGCTTAGAGTAAGTAGGAAACGGGAAATTGTTGGGGAGGAGTTAAAGTGTGAGGAAATGTGGTTATATGAGGAACTTGACAATGGAGGATCTGATGCTCCCAAGTTACGGAATTTCCAGATAGAGATGTATGAATGTGCTTAAAGTTTGTAAATTTGAAAGAATCATTAGGAATTGCTCAATGTTCAGTCACTAGGAACTAGGTGGGAAAATGCTGCAATAGGAGAAAGAAAAAAACTAGGTATGACCGTAAACATGAATGCCTTCTATGTTTCCATTAGTAATGTACTCGGAATTATTTCCTTTTTACCTTTGATTCGGTATTAATCATTAGCTTTCTGCTTATTGTAGATCATTTATTTTGCAATAGTAGGAGGAACCTATTACTTGGTTGCAACTTCTTCCTTCCGTTACATTCCTGGCTATTATATAAGTGAAATTCACAGGTATGCGTCATGGATTAAGTTTATGTAAAGTTTTCCATTTTCTTTGTACTGAATCCTCTACACAACTTTTTTATTTATTTCAGGTATGCGAGCTTGTTGGCTGTTGGCGTTGGTGTCCTACTCTTTCTATTGGCTAGCTTTTCTGATCCAGGAACGGTGAAAGCTGATAATGTTTCTCTGTATCTCTTTGCTTATCCTTACGATAATATTATATATTCTGAGAAAGACTGTTCAACATGCAAAATTCCAAAGTGAGTCCTCACCCCCATGGTTATTGTTTTTAAAATAAATTTGTGCTGTTTGATTTTTCTTCCTTCCTTTTCTTTTCTTAATTTCTCCTTTTTGCTTGTCACTCTTCCTCTGTGGTTTAGACCTGCTAGGTCAAAGCATTGCAGCATATGTGATCGATGTGTTGCCCGTTTTGATCATCATTGTGGATGGATGGTCCGAAACTCTCCAACTATTCTTCTTTTTTCCTCCATTCCCTCCATATCTGGGCATTCCATTTGTTGCTTATTGTAAATTTGACCCCACTGTTTTTATTGCAGAATAATTGTATAGGTGAGAGAAACACCCGGTACTTCATAGCTTTTCTTTTGTGGTGAGTTCTATAGTGATGCAGCAAGTGTATGTTTATTTGTGTTGTGTGGCCTTTTTTTTCTTCACCGCCTATGCTTCCCAAAGAATTGATTATACATATTGAATTGTTGATAGGGATTTTGATGGTAGCAATTGTTTTACGGTTTGAGAATGTGCTTACTGATAATCAATGTTATCACCTAGAATCTCTGGTTGAATTTTAGCAATCCAATCTTGGCGTATGATGTTTACGTAAATAAAGATAAGAAAACTTTTAGAACTTATGGTCTTTGAGGTTTTAAATTTGTAGGTCATGGATTTTTCCATTTCACTCTTGAAATTCAGAGCAAATTACACTGGAGAAGCTCCAAGATTGCTGTCTTAAAGTTACTCGTCTAAATGCTCAGTCAATTTTAACTTTATTATAGCTGTGAGGTAATATATGGTAATCATTTATTTGTTGTTTGTTATCATTTATCTAGTGCTTTTTCAGGCACACTTTACTTTGCATATATGGAACAGTGGCGATTGGGTTAATTCTTGCTGGACAAGTTAAAGAATTCAAAGTTATTGATATTCTAACCGGTAAGTTGATTTGGTAAATTAATTTTCATACCAAGCCTCCTACTTGGTTGTGTTGCATCTGAACCTAACTGATGTTCCTTTCCTTAATTTCTTCGTTGCAGTTTATTATGGTGTAGATAATTCTTTTCGCCGTTTAACGCCACATGTTGTGCAGGTACGTTGATTTGTTTTGTTATGGGAATTGAGACGAGCAATAGCTTCCAATGATAAATAATTCAGTTTCTGAAGTTCAAAATCATTTTTGTATATTGCTGTTCTCGGCATATTTGGAAACATTTATATAAGCATACATAACATAAGTGAAAAAACTTGTACCCTCTGTTCATTGTCAAGCTGACTTACTGTACTTCTGGTGATCCCTTAGCCATTATTGTGTTTCTGGATACAACGTATTGAAAGAGCCTGTCTTTACATGGAGGTGACAAATAACCGTTCACTTTAACTGGTAGAAAAGGCCTAGTTGGACTTCACCATTCATTTACTTTCCATGATGTCTCCAATAATGAACTGTAGGCTTGAGATATCGGCTCTTTTTATTATTTTGGCTTTTCCATGTCGCTCATTGCTTAATTTTTTTTCTGATTTGACAGTGGTTGTTGGGCGCCTACAACATTCAAATACTTCTAATGGTGTTTCTTGCAATTGTTTCACTACTATTGGCGGGTTTCTTTGGTTACCATGCAAAACTTTGTCTTTCAAACACTACAACTAATGAGGTCTATTTCGCTCTCCAACTTTGCTAATAATTTAATTTGTTAATGTCTTGGTAAAGTTCCAAAGAAAGGTAGGCTAGAGTTAATTAGGCGGGGATAGTTCATTAGGCTTCACCGCTGCAACAGAAGGACTCCCAGGAGATAAGAAAGCTTTAATGAACATGGCTTCTTTTATTGCTGATACAGTGGAACTTAGCGTGTTTACTTCTTTTGAAACAGACTTTCAAGTGGCAAGACTACTTAAGCTGGCAGAGGAAGCTGAATGAAGCAAGGGCGAGTTCTGCAGCACTCAAAGCAAGTATCAATGGGACAGATAGTGAAAGAAAACCTCCAGAGAGCAAATGGAGAGCCATTTTCCGAAGATCACCACTCAAAGAGGTGGATGTTGTGGTTAAAAATAACATGTACGATAAAGGATTCTTCCAGAATATTCTTGAGGTCATTGTTCCCCTCTCAAGAAGACCGCTGGCTTCGCAAACCAAATCAAAGTCTGGCTAAGAAAGACTTCTGGCTTCCTGTTGATGTTGTATGCTTGCTTCTCGTTGTTTTTTCCACCAACTGATCGGCTTCAGAGCCTGTCAACCCAAAATTTCTCAATGGCCAGCAACAGCAAGAGACGGAGTGTTTTTGCTGTGCAGATGTAGCACGATCGGATGCTTATTCTAGCGTTCTGTAACATAACTGGTTCTTGCGGATGCCTAGGGGCTAGGCTGAATGTTTGTGGTTGGCGGATTATTTGACAAAAGTCGATTTGCGTACAAATGGTGTCATTTAGCTTAGGGGATTTTGCTTGTATAAAAGGCTAGCCAGACATTTTTCTCTTTTATTTTCTGTAACATGATACACTTTACTCACTTATTCAACACAAGAATGATTCAATTATTCTTTAAACTTGCATCGCTATGTTATTTGATATCTACGCCTCCCATTCGGGGAAATCTTATCACCTATTGTATCTCGTTACGTCACGTGATGAGAGAAATTCATACATGCTGACGTAAACAGAGAATAGTTAAGAATCTCCACTCGCACTCTCATGGTTGCTAGATCGAAAGCTTGTATTTTTATAGCCGGTCAAAAAGACTAATTTGGGCGAACGAGAGTTGATTGAGTTGGTAAATACCGTTTTTTTCGCTATATCAAAGCCTGAGTCGAGTTCCGTTGCCGACAATCCCTCTTGGTAGACGATCTGTGAAAACGAAAAAAATGACTAAAACCCTCTCTGTAAGTCCTTAAAGAGACTTGTGATATACCCTGTCCTTGGAATGAGATGGCTTCACCTCCCCCCTATACATTTTCTGCCAAAAAAACAAAAGTCTAATCTGGGGTAAAACTGTAAAAGAGGTGCAGTAAATGTGCAGGAATTAAAAAGAACACAAAAGTTAAGGGGCCAATTGAAAACAACCCAAAACAAACAGGGAGCAGAACCAAAAAACAGTTAATTTTTCCCCCAAAACACAGCCATCTCTTTACGTCGTCGTTTCACTACCATTCTGAAATGCTCAGAGCCAATTTCTTGGTCTCATGCATCTTCTCTTCGATTAACTTCTGGGCAACCAAACGGGAAGGTAAAGGTTCGTTCTCGTCCCTTCGATTACCAATTTTTCTCTGTAAATATCGAAACTTTTATTTTTATTTTTTCAGATTTAATTGAATTTTTTTGGAAATTTAATTTTGTGCAGAAGCTTGTTAGGGTTTTGGACGATGATATACACGGCGATAGACACCTTCTACCTGACCGACGAGCAGTTGCAGAACTCGCCGTCGAGGAAGGACGGGATTGATGAACCCAAGGAAACCACGCTCAGAATCTACGGCTGTGATTTGATCCAAGAAAGCGGAATTCTGCTCAAATTGTATGCTGTTTCCATTTTTTTTTTGTTTAAATTTGTAGCGATTATGGTTCTTCTTTAATTTGAGGGGGAATTACTAAATTTTGATTTGCTTGATTTGATCACTTGCAGACCTCAAGCTGTAATGGCGACTGGTCAGGTTCTGTTTCACCGCTTCTATTGCAAGAAGTCCTTTGCTCGCTTCAATGTCAAGGTATTTGCTTTATCTGTGCATTTAATTTATTCATTTATTGCGATTACCTGAAGCATTCCACCGCGATTAGGAGTGTTCGGTGTACTTATATCTTCGATTTGCCCATATAATTGTATTATACGACGTTGTTTTGACAACCCATGTTTTGAAATTGAGAGCAATGATTGATTCCTTTTAACTTTTTTCCTCCTAAGTTTTTTGTTATGTGTGCTGATGAAAATGTACCTCATACAATCGCATACAGCGTTTATTAGGAAAAAGATGTCCGCTGTAGCTGTAGTAGGTTAAATGAGTAGCTTTTATCTCTTTGTTTTCTTTCAGTATTCTCCAATCTCTCGTTTCATATTTGCATTAGTAATTTAGTAATGTGATGTTTTCTTGTAGAAAGTTGCGGCTAGCTGTGTGTGGCTTGCATCGAAACTGGAGGAATGCCCTAAGAAAGCCAGACAGGTGATCATTGTTTTCCACCGGATGGAATGCAGGAGGGAGAACCTACCCATTGAGCATTTGGATCCATATTCAAAGGTTAGACCGACATATGCTATATTTGTATAGATTTCATACTACAATCATTGTTTTTCATTATCATCCTTTTGAACCCAACGGATCAAATCTATTGTCTCCCTCTTTGGTGTGCACAAGTGAATGGTTTTAGTCCTTTTATTATCACACTTAGTAAAGCATATCAAAGTTTCAAGCTTTTTGTTTTTTTGTTTTTCCAGAAATATTCGGACTTGAAGATGGAGTTGAGTAGAACAGAAAGGCATATTTTGAAAGAGATGGGTTTCATTTGTCATGTTGAACATCCTCATAAATTCATATCAAATTACCTTGCCACTCTGGAAACACCTCGGGAATTAACACAAGAAGCCTGGAATCTAGCAAATGACAGGTACTTCTCTCAACATACCCCAATTGCTAATTTACTTTGAGACCTTCAAACTTTATATTGGTGTTTATTTATTTAAAATTTTCTTTTTGCTTGGTATATGTATAGATTCTGATTGTTGGTTAAATTCTCACGAACTTTTTACTTGCAGTTTGCGCACAACATTGTGTGTTCGATTCAAGAGCGAGGTGGTTGCTTGCGGTGTGGTTTATGCTGCTGCTCGGAGATTTCAAGTACCACTTCCTGAAAATCCACCATGGTGGAAGGCATTTGATGCTGAGAAATCAGGGATTGACGAAATTTGTAGGGTTCTGGCTCATTTGTACAGCCTTCCTAAAGCAAAGTACATACCAGTCTGTAAAGAGGGTGACTCTTTTACATTCTCTAACAAGTCATGGATTTCGTCTCTGCCAGTTACAAAGGTAATTCTGACTCGTTTTCTTCTAATTTTTTCCCCTCCCCGTTATGATTTATTTAGAGCCAGGGGGCTCTATGATATTCTCTCTTATCTCTACAGCTGCCATTTTCAACAGCTTATTGCATCTTGATACTGTAAGTGCTGCTGTTTTTCTCTAGGAAGGTTCATTAGATTCATACAATCACCTGCTTATCGGTGGTTTAACAGCAGCACTGCTGGCTGCAACCAAGAATGCAGCTGGAGAATATGAAGAAAATGAAAATTACATAACGTGGATTTTTCCTTCTCATTGCTGTTTTGTAGGAAGTTCCAAAGAATGCTCCCGCTCCCGCAGCTATTGATGATACCTCTAATTCAAAGGATACAACAGCATTGAATCCTGAATCTAGTGGATCAAAGGGTGTGTTGGTCAAGCTACCCGTTGACAAGCCAAAGGACTCTAAAGAGAGTGGTGATGAAGCCAAGAGCATGGCTGTTGAGGGAGAGGCAAGAGAAGATGTCAATATGAAGTCAAAGTCTGAACGCCGCATGGAATCAAGCGGTGATAAAAGCAAGGACAGAGAGAGGGACAGGGAAAGAGATAGGGAAAGGGACCGGGACAGGGACAGAATAAGGGCTCGGGATCGTGATAGGGGCAGGGATTCTGACCGAGAACGAGATCGAGAGGAGGCCGAGAGGGACAGAAACAGGGATCGGAGTCGTCGTTCAAAGGATAGAGCAAAAGACTCAGGGGGGCATTCAGACAAATCGAGGCATCACTCGTCACGCGATCGTGACTATCACAGTTCCTCGTATTCTTCCCGGGATAAGGATCGCCATAGACATCATTCGCATGCTTGAACTAATAGCCAAGACGCCTCTCCTTTTCCCTTGTAAGTGAACGAAACTGAACGTACTTCGGCTGCATTTTTACAATTTTTCAGATGTAAAAGTGAATTAGATTTCGGTAGGATGTGTGCAATGCACAGCATTGATCCTTCTAAATCTTCATTCTGTTGTTGGATAGTTGAATACTTGAATTACTTGTGATATCCTTACATCCTTCTTGGTTGAGAACCAAACTTGTACCTCCGAAGTGTCGTGATATCTGCACCTTTTTTTCTTCTTTCTCATGTCCGCATGTGAAAACGCTTTTGGTGAAAATGTTTTTCAAACCAATCCTTGGTAAAAATGCAAGCAAATCTTAAAAAATCATTTGAAGTGCTTTTCGCTAGGGATAATGCTAGGGAGATCAAAGTTTTAAAACCAAATAATGTGGTTATTGATGATTAGATTGTTACTTGAGTGTTGATTAACGGGCCTTTTACTTATTGGTGACACATTATTTAGTTTGCAAATTTGATTTAAAATTTTGATCTCCGTGCATTATCCTTTCACCAAAAGTGTTTTCAGTCATTTAAAAAGTACATCCAAACGAGACCTACACCACCATCATACCATAATTACTAATTATAACTAATTAACTAGTGATTAGCAAACTAATTATTTCGTGTGTAAAACTTAAACTTATAAATCTTCATGTTTTCGAAAACCGCTCTGCGCACTTTGGCTTCCTCCACTTCCAGCTTCGGCTGCTTGTCACTCACGAGCCTCGTTTGGTCTACATATTGAATTGGCTTTGGTTTTACCTGTTGCAACTGCTTCAGTGAAAGAGAACATTTTCCGTCATGAATATCATAAAGAGTCCCCTCTGCAATAGAATGGGGGATCAATGGTTAAATGACAGCTTAGTTGTTTACATTGAGAAATATGTTTTTTCTTGTATTGACAATGAAACTATCATGGCACGTTTTCAAAATATGAGATCTCATCGTGTACAAATTTAGTATTTCTAGCTTGTTTAGCACAAAGATTATGAATGAAAATTGTAGTTACCATTTATTTGTTCAATGATATTTTCGTCTTGTTTTTATTTTTGGAGCTTTTATATTGGAACCACCCTAAGTTAAAATCCTGAATCTGCCACTAACTGCAGTCATAAGCATTGTTAGTTGTCATGAAAACTTTTAATCATGCCAAAAATCATCGAGGCAGATGCTTGGACTGCAAGAAAGAACACCACCAGGGTCAAACAGAGATTTTATAAATTTCTGATAGATTCTAGAATTTGACGTTTATCAATCAATGAAATGCGTTGTAGTATCGAGCATTCGTATCTACATTTCACACTGTATTAACATGAGTGCTCGATAGTACAAAGTATTCGGTATGTCCCTTTACAACGGTACAAAGAAGAAATCCGTCAACGGTCAGGCAGGTGATGCTTGGGCAGCGGCATTGAAGGTGAGCGGCTTGATGTCCATGGAACGCATGTAACTCAAAAACTGTCCGGGCAGCTCTTCCAAAAGACCTTGAACAACAGAAATCTGCCCACCTGCTTACAAGTTACAAACCCCACAGATTTTGTCAGCTAAAATACGATAGAAGACCCGAGAAAAAATAAATTTACGATTGCCAATTTAATACAGGTTGAATGAAAGTCTGAACCACAGTTCTAGTAACTTCGCCTCACACGATGTTGACGTGCACCTAAAGGTACAATGGATGTTTAGAAAGAGAAATGGAGGTCATGGATACTTACTCTGCACATCTCTCATTGGAATGAACTGGACAATGTCACGCGTAGCTATGTGACCTGTAGAACTTTTTAATCGTTGCCCGTTGTCAGCGTCAAGGATCTGCCAAATACAAAAGATTCAGACGAAACTTCATGATATGCAGAAATCAAAAACCAGTATGTGAAAATCCTGAATAACCACAAGTATTACCTTCATTTGTTTGAAATCCGCATTACCAACTCCAACGATGAGGATTGATAGAGGAAGATTAGATGCCCTCACCAAAGCATCTTTTGTTTCTTGAAGGTCAGTGAGGATTCCATCCTAGAAAACAAGATGGCATTTATATTATCAATTTTGGTAAAACAAAGAACCGAGGAGTTAAAAATTCAATTTGAATTCGTCGGGCTCTTACCGTTATAATGACCAAGACGTAGTACTTGTTGGACGAGAGGGACCTGGTGGCAATTTTAGCAGCCCTGTTAACCACTGGGCCAAACAACGTCGGTTCTGACAGAGCAATATCGCGTTGAGCATTGGCATAAGCAGCCATTATGCCTTCAACTCCGACAACCTGTTAAATAAACGACACAATTGAATTTACTGAGATGGTCAAACAAAATTAGGCCAGTGTATTGAACGAGATTGCAAACCAAGGGTAAAAGAGCATTGCAAAGAGTTAAACTACTCCTTTACCTCAGATTCACTTGAATCTCCATTCAAGTTGAAGCAGTATGATACAGTTCCATTAGCCGTCCTTCCTCCAAAGCCCCAAGCAGGAAACCTCTTATCAGCATCGTAGAACTGAATGACTGGTCCTACTTCTGTTATAGCCTGCAAATGACAACATCTAATCAATCAATATGCTTTCGCTAAATATTGAACAGAAAGGTACCCGTAACAACAAAAACTCGAGAACAAACCTTAATTATGTACCAATTCATTACACGTCTGCGAAAAGAATGTGGTCGATAAGATAGAACTATCCCTATTGAAGCACATGCTTACCTGCTGGTAAGAATTCAGCCCGCCATTAGGATCAATGTAGTGCAAAGACTCGGGATTTCTAGGATCTCCATTTGAAGCTGGACAAAATTTAATATTCGAAACAAGAAAATATATCAAACCCATTAACTTTTGCAGAATGAAGACTGAATTAAATTACCAGACTATCAGACATTGCTTACCCGTAAAATCAACTGCAACCATGCAGTTAAGCTCAAACCCACTAGATATATAGTCAACAAAGGTGAATTGTTCTTTCTCACAAAACTGATCCACAAATAGCTGACTCTTCAAAACCTACGTTAGCAGATTACAAAGCAAACGTGAGTAAATTCAAATTGACATGAAATACTAAGGAATTGGACTGCAAGATTAAATATATACCTTTTCATGACCCGCACGAGAAGATGGAATAAACATGTTCGCCCCACGTTCTTCTCTGAGTAGTTTTTCAAGGTCTGCTACTGATTTTCGGAGTCTCCTGAGTAAAACGAATAGAGGGTAATTTCAAAACCTTCATTTTTTTGTGTTCCAGGCGCAAAACAATGATATCATGCAAGAAGTAACAAAACAAAGAGTTGGAACCAATCAATAATTACCCAATAAGAATGTGTTTGCCATTGCTGTTGAAATCAAAACACTCAATAACCAGCGGGGCGTCCTGCATCAAATTGAAGAAAATTAAATGATCTCTCTATTGTATTTGTCAATTACCAAAATTTATATACCCTAATTTAACAGGTAACCAAGCAATAATTCACAAGCTTACCTTGCTTCTGAACTGTTGCATACCCAGGCATACTGGTTTCCAGGTCGGGTTTAAATTGTTATCCACCACTTCAGTCTTGCAAATTGGAATAGAATCCCCAGTCTCAACAGTTCTTGATATTATTAAGAAAGGATCCTGAAGTGAAGAATCGGGAAAAGAAACCTAAGAATCATACAATATAAGAAATTTGTATATACAAGTAATAAGATCGCACGAAGCTTCTTTGAAATGCGTACGCTTTTAGAAAAGAGATCTTTGTTGTCCAAGTGGGCACAGCGGAATTTAATCTCTACAGCACTCCTAGAAGCAATAGTTTCCTCGGCATGCACGGTGAGTGTTCCAAAGTTTCTCAAACCTCCATGCCCCTTTTTGCCTTTCAGAGTCATTGTTGAACTTCGATTTTGTTTAGTCACAATCTGCCGTCAGAAAAGAGAGTACACAGCAAACTGTAAATTAGGTTCGACTTCATTTACTAGAAAACGATGAAATCTTAGGTACTGATTTCAATACATTTTGGGCAACAGTTTTGCTTATGATTAAGTAAAGAAAACCACTACAAGCTATATCGATAACTTTCCTTAGCTGCATCAACGGGTGAGTAGTGCAGTAACTATAACATTGAAAATTAAACATGAAAAGAAACACATAACTCAAAGTATTAATTAAATGAGTCTATATATACATATCACACCAGCTCAATGAAAATATATGAGCTGAACAGATTTCAAGACTTACCTCTGAAAGGTCACAACTGCCTTCTCCAAGAAACTCTTGATCCCTCAAATTCAGAGTCTGCAAGGCAACAAAATAAGAAGGTTAACACATGAATTGTATTAGGTTTTTCGTTCCAAAAGAAACGTTAAAAATTCAAAGAAGTCTCGTCATACCTTTACAGGTACATTGTGGAATTGTGTATCAACATCGTAGACACAGAATCTTGGAGGAGAACACAAGAAAAGAAAATAAGCAAACGTCTGATAAACTACAAAGATATCTTCAGAAACATAGGTGCTACAGAAAATATGAGAAACTTACATCAAATTCTGCACCATCTCGAACTGATAAGCTACTGAAACGTTCTGTATCCATTCCGGATTTAAATTGTTCAGTATGACTTCAGTTCTCCCGAGTTCCTCTAGCTTACCATCATTCTTCTTGAGGTATACAACCACCATAGGATCACTCTGAAAGAAAAATAGAGAATTTTTTAGCCTCGATAGTAAACTCGTAGCGGTCAGATGATACTATTACAATTTACAATAACTTTGTTACTAACTTAGATAAAACTTAACCAGTAATTTAACTGCTATGTTATCACAAGTAAGGTGACATGGATAACATACCTTGGAAAAGAGATCACGATCAAGCAGCTTGGATGCTGAAAAGGATAACTGTAGCACAAAATTGAAAAACATTAACACAAAAGAACAAAAACAACAATCAAGCCTAATTCATTAGACTTCTAGTTTGTCATTGCACTCGGTTTTGAAAGACAAAAGGTGAAAGACGAGGAAATAAAGAAACAAGGCCCTTGGAATTTGGAATTTGCACCAATCACTTGAGACAAATAATATTTTCAAAATACAGCTACAAAATTAAGAAAGATGATCACATTGTGGGAGTATAAATTTTTTAGAATCTTGTGAGGTTATAAAATATATGCACCCAATGTATGAATAAAATAAAATGAGACTTTGGATGCGGTCATTAGATATAAATATTCTTTGATTGAAACCTTATTGGTTTTTAATTTTTTATCGAAGTATCTGAAATTAATATGATAATTTATTTCTATGTACGTTACTATATTTTTTAAATTAAAAATTAGAAATTTTAGTTGTTTATATAAATGATATTTTAAATAAAAAACCATAATTTGTGGGATTAAAAATATTAAAATATAAATATACTATTGTGTGTGTGTATATATATATAAACATGGGTACATTCATCAAAATTAACCAAAAAAATTATTGTATCAAAACATGGGTACATTCTTCAAAATCACAAAAAAAAATAAAGATATTAGGCTTAATAATATTAGTAAATTTCTTTGATTAAACTTGATATGGATATATTTTAAAATTAAAGAAAAAAGAATTAATATATTCATATAAGTTTAAAAATTGATTAGAAAAAAATTGAATAGATTTTATTTGAAAAAAGGGTACATTTTACATATAACAAATTGATATATTTAAGAATGAGTACATTTTCAGATTAAAAGGTTTTACATGAATGGGTACATATAATTAGCATGGTACATTTAGCAAAATAAAAAGTACAAATAAAAAAAATATGAATAAAAATACAAATAAACTTTAAAAAATATGGGCACAAAAAGAATTAATATATAGGTACAAATTAAAACTAAAAAAAAAAATAGTACAAATTAAAAAAAAAAGAATTACAAATTAAAAATAGGTATAAACTAAAACTAAAAAATATATAATAAAAAAATTAATCATAAATATAAATATACTAATTATAATATTTTTAACATTAAATGAATATATTTAAAAATAAAAAAAATTTATTATTTAAATAATTAATGATGCTATTAATACATAATTACTTTCATAAAAAAATTTAAAAACATAAAATTTTAATCGAAGTAGTAAAAAGAAAGATGAGAACGTAATTTTTTCTAAAATATCTTAAAATAAAATAAGATTCGCAAGGTTATCTCGGGAGGGGATCCTCTACGGACCCAAACCCACCGGAGCCTCCGGATCCGTCTTCTTTAAAGGCCAAGTCGGCGTCGTGGGCTTTTCCGGAGTCGGCGTCGTGCTTTCCTCGGAGTTGGTTGTCGGAGAAGATGCAGAAGATGCATAATTGAAGAAGAAGACAAACAAAGAAGGAAGAAGGAAGTGAAGAAGAAGCAGAACCAAATCTGCAGAGAAGAAGGAAGAAGGAGGAAGATCCGGAGGTTCCGGTGGGTTTGGGTCCGGGGAGGATCCTCTCCCTATATTGATAGCCAAAATAACTAATAACTAATATCCAAGAAAAGAATGAGATAGAAATTCCGGTGTACCTCGAGTTGCGTAAAATGCGGGTAAGCACCATGCGCCCTGTAAAAGAATTCAATGGCATCGTTGTGAGCGCCGTCGTTCTCGGCGTCCGGTTCGGTGCCCACGGCGGCCTTGCCTCCCCTCAAGTCCGAAAGGCGTCCTCCCATCCCTTTAAATCAAAAATCCCCAACCTTTATCCGTACTCTCTCTCCTCTCTCTTCGTCTCTCTGAAATTCGGGAACCCGGAAGCAAATTGCGACTGTTAATCGCAAGATCAGTCTGCTAATTAGGAGATTTTGCGTGATTAAGGTTCGTTAAACCCTAAGGATTATGGGATTTGATTCTTTGCGATGCGCATATATGTATACATATTATAGGATCAGGATCCTCTCCTGAGCAAATGGAGAGGATGCTCCTGCCAGGGTCCATCGGACCGTTCAAATTTTATCCAATGGCTACGATTATTATAATTTTAGTAGAGCTCTCTGTTTGTAGCCGTTGGATAAATTTTGAACGGTCCGATGGATCAGGTCGGGAGGATCCTCTCCATTTGCTCAGGAGAGGATCCTGATCCCATATTATATATATATTGGTGCTTTATACATTATCCTCCTTAACAGTAATTTTTCAACGCGGATAATAGATGGTTTAATGTCTCGAAGCTTCACTTTATGAAATTATTTTTAAGGAAACTTGATATAAGTCTAATTTTTTGAATCAATAGTAGGAATAGTCTAACTTATTAAAATAAGTTTAATTTCATAAATTTAATTATTTAATTATCAATAATTATCTCTTCAGTGATAAGAATTATTATAAAAATCAATTTCTTTGTAATTATCTCTTTGATTATTTCTTTTTATTTACTTTTTGTTATTTCTTTGTTCTTCCCCCTGCTTTAAACCTCATTTATAGATTTTATTTTTAATTTTTATAATCAACCTATACCACAGGTTAATTGTATTTTATCTACCTATATGACAGATTCTTTTTTATAAACATCATGTCATAGATTAATGTGTCTTGTTTGTAGGTATATTATTATTTTCTACATTTTAATTAGATTTCATATCTCAGTTATAGGTATAATATACATTCATATATTTGTTACTTGAATTAGGTAGAATGTTTTGCAAATAGATTTATGTTTGTATATTAGTTTTTTTGTTATAAGATATTGATTAGATTTTTTAGAGTTGGAAAATGCATAATATTAGAAAATTTTAATTGATTTTTAATATTTTTAGAAAATATAAAATAAGTATAAAAAAAATGAAAACATATAATTAGATAATTGGACTCCCTCCTAAAAACACTTTATGTTTTTTGAGCTGGATCTAAAAGCCCCTATTTTTAATACATCAATATTTTCAGGATATTTTCTATTAAGGGGCTTTTCTCTCTCTCCCTGATCAAAATTTCCAGTCTTTCCAGGACATTCCTGCAAATATCATAAACCTCTCTCTCCCTCATCAAAATTTCCAGTCTTTCCAGGACATTCCTGCAAATATCATAAACCTCTCTCTCCCTCATCAAAATTTCCAGTCTTTGCACGACATCCCTGCCAATATCATAATCCTCTCTCTATTATCCAAAGGAATTCCCTAAATTAATATTTTATATTATTTAATACATATTTAGTAATATTTTATTATTACCATTGTCTTTCTTTTTTCATTCCTAATTTTTTTTTCCCTCTGATCTTCCTTTTTATTCCTAATTTTGCTCCGACCCTCTCCCTCCCTTCATCTTTTTCTTTTCCTTTCCACTCTCTCCTCCCTCAAAACAGCGTCATTCATCACCCCCTTTTGTTCTCTCTTTTTTTTTTTTCTTTCCTTTTCTTTGCTGTTGTGATTCCTCTAAATTATTTATGGCACCACAGATTCTGATTTCCCAACTTCAAATCCCACGAAAATTTGAAATCGTGCAAACGCTCCTCTCTGCAGCACCATGGATTTCACAACCACTTTGTTTCTCGCCCCTCTGAGAATTGGGCGGTGGGTGTGGTGGGTTTCAGCTCTGGGTATAGGTTGCCAGAGTTGCAGAGAAGCAGACGACTTGCAGCGTGCAGACATTGTACGCAGCTTTAGAGACGGGATTAGCAATCCCATATGTTTCGGGCGGCCTAGCTAAGAACTGGTAGTGAAGGATTTAGTCGGCACTGAGTCCAACTTAGTCCATTAAACTTAATCCTTGTTCCAACCAAACACGGATTAGAAATCCTAGCTAAGTCAATCCAGTAGAAGCAGAGATTTGAAGGCAAATCGATCAGACCGCAGAAGCAGTGCCGGAGTTGTACCTCCAGTTGCGTAAGAAGCTGGTAAGCACCATAAGCACCGTGCGCCCTGTAAAAGAATTCAATGGCATCGTTGTGAGCGCCGTCGTTCTTGACTTGGGTTCGGTGGGCCTCGTTAAACCCTGAGGATTATGGTATTTGATATTTAGGCAGTGAGATCGTTTCTTGCATGTATGTAAGAGGAATGCCTGCCAAGTGCGTGCTTTATATGTTTTCCTGCCTTACCTGGATATTTCCTCGAAGCTTCACCTTATGGAATTTCCTTGAAGCTTCAATTTGTGGAATAGTTGAACAGGTGAATAGTTGATTGATTTTCCTACTTGGTTGGAAATAATGAATATTCTTAAGAAGATTCCGGTCCAAGTTTTTTATTGAAATATCCAAGTTCCAACAACCCACCAACAAGTAAATTTGTATTCGAAAATGCTTAAGAAGATCCTCTAAACCAAATTAAAATAATGAAGAAATAAAATTAAAATAATTTCCTAAATTTTAAGAAAATGTTTCATGAATTACTAATTTTCTAAACCAAATTAGTGAGAATGATATGACGCGCAATATTTGCTCAATTTGTTTATGAACTGAAATAACCAAATAAACACATTCATCAAATAGATTGGTTTACTAGTTTGAGGACTAAATGGAATCGAACCAAATCAAACTGAATCGTTGAAATTGCTTACAAGGGTTGGTGCAATTGGTAAGGGCGTGAATGTGGTTAACCGCAATCCAAGTTCGATTCTCGCATCCAATAGTTCTCGTTGGTGCGAGATATGTAAATTTCTATGTAAATCTATTAAGTAGTAGCTAGCAGCAAGGTTTAAAATATCGATATATTATCCCGATATTTCTGATCATTGATATTTTAGACCTTGATAAGAACTCTACGTGGTATTAAGTCACTCATGTATCTTACCATACAATGTATAAAGTGTAAAATATTGTACTAATTCATTATATATAAATGATTATGGTGTGTTTAAACTTCTTTCATTAATTACTACATATTTTCTACACTCACAATATTTGTCAGCTCGCCATATAATCAACTTACATCAGTTAAATCCATCATGCAATGCATTTCCTTCCAATTTTTTGTAATAAACTAATAGATAATTGACTAAATAAACATCCTGCAAAGTTTCAATAAAAATTTCCAAGTTTTTCTTACAATTTCCGTGGTTTTTTATTCAATTTTTATCGATATCAATAATATCCCGATATTTCCATCGAAATTTTCGTGTTTTTGAATTACCAATATTTCCGATATCATCGATATTTTAGACCTTGGCTAGCAGTTAGATGTTATGCGTAACGCTGATAGTAAGAGTAGCCAATTTCCTCATTTCTTCTTCGAAGTTGGACTTTGGAAAATTTTGAATTGTATGGCATGTGGGAAACAAATACTTGGGAATAAACTTAAGCGACTCGACTCCAATGTTTTTTTTTTTTTTTCCATAGAAGTTGATTTCAATATGTTTATGGAAATTTTTCTTACCGCGGTTTTGCTGGCGTCACCAGAATGACATATCAACTTTATATTCTATATATAAAAAAAAAAAAGGTTATCAACTTTAGACAAATTTGTCAACAATTTCTTGGGTATGCTTGCTGCTGATTGCTGACCATCTCATTGCAACGTTATTGAAATCTCAATCACACGTACATACGTCCAGTGACGTATTTAAGATTTGGATTTTGGGGAATTTCAATATTAAAAGTTTAAGTTTTTAGACAGAAACAAAGCCAGAAACACGTAAAGAAATTTAGTTTATTAACTGAGGTACTTCATGGAACACTAATGGGTTTGTTGTCGTCAGCTAAACTATGTTGCATAGATGTCAACACATGTCGACATATGCCGAAATAATCTGATTAGTGATATCGAGAGAATTTGTCAAGTGATGTCAGCGCAACTTGTCGAGATATGCATAGCAAACATTACATCAAACACTTGATAGGCACAAAATAACATGTACCAAATAAAAGAAAGGGTCGTAGGAAGACGTTCACATGTATATTTTCTAGACTTCGAATGGTCCTGAGATCACTTGGTCCCAATGCGCATCCGCCTCTGCATGCGTGTAGACGTTTAGATAGTTTAAATACAATGTGAAATCTAGATCACACAAAATATCCCTTCATGTATAGAAAGGATTTGGATCCCATCCGAATCCAAATTGTGGGGATCCTAGGGATCCTCATATCTGAGTCATTCATCGTGCATCATGCGTTCATAAATTATTTGACATTTTTTTATTTAAAATTAAACACAAATAGTACCTAACGAAAACTAGCCGCACGACGTACGATAAACAGCTAGCATATGGGGATGCCTAGGATTCCCACAAAGTAAATCCCGAGAGGATCCTCTTCCGTTGTAATTTTAGTCACTATATATTTTTTAACATAATATTTTATAACATTGGCCTATGAATTAAACCGTGGACATGAGATGGTGGAGTGGAATATTCCACTTTTAAGAAAATTTCGTTGGTAATATATATATATATATATATATATATATATATATGTACAAACCTTTTACTTAAAAAAAAAAAAGATTTCTATTCTTTTGGTAAAAAATGAGGACTATTCCATACATTAGACCATCTCTAACCGAGGGCTGGCCAGAGGGTTCGTTTTAGCCCTCTGGCTCTCCAAGATTCTCCAAGATATTAATATTTTAATGAACAGTACATGGCCATATTTGCCTCCATCTCCAACCGAGGCCCAGAGGGCCAGAGGGCTCGTTTTAGCCCTATCACCAAAAACCGTCTCCAACCGAGGGCCAAAGGGTCATAGGGCCAAACATAATTTATTATTTAAAAACTACAACTAAAATGTTGTTTAAGTTTCATGTTGTATAATTTTTATGTTGGTTAATTTTATTTAATGTTGTTTCATGTTACTTAATTTAACTTAATGTTGTATAATGGCTTAGGAAGTTATAGGAAAAAAATAGAATTTAAAAAAAATATGAAACAAATTTTGTGAAATAGAAGTTATAGGAAAAAATAGAAGTTATATGAAAAATTTTGTAAATAAAAAATAATAATAATAATGTAAAAATTTTTTTTTTTTAAATCAAATGCAACGGCTAGTAGCCGTTTCATTTGAATTTTTTTTAAAACAATCTTGTCGGTTATAACCGACAGGAATACACCATTATTTAGTATATTAAATAATAGTATGTATTCCTGTCGGTTATAACCGACAGGAATAACAAAACTATAAAAAAAAAATAGCCAGCCCTCCAGCCCTCTCTGATCCCGTGGGGCCCTCCCAGATTCCAGAACCCTCTGGCCTAGCCCTCAGTTGGAGACGGTTTTAGGGCTATTTTCGGCCCTCTAGCCCTCTGGACCCTTCGGTTAGAGATGACCTTAGTTGATTGATTTTCCTATGTGGTTGGAAATAATGAATATTCTTCACATGTGCATTTGGAAAGGTTGTGGGTTGGCGATTTGACTGATTAGTAGGGTTGGCGATTTGACCGATTAGTAGTTGGCGATTTTGGCTGACTAGGCGGAGACCAATTCGAGTTTTTGTTTGAAAGACAAGGATTGTCTGCCCTTTTTGTTTCCATGCCCTCCTGTACTCTTTTATTTTGTGTGGTTACAGTTAAGTCACGTCAACATTTTATATTGTTTTTTTTATAGAGATAATAAGACAAAATAAATAGTAATATAAAATATTGACGTGACTTAACCGTGACCACACAAACAGGATGGTATATAGAAGGACATGAGAACAAGGAGGCAGACAATCCTTGTCCTTGTTTGGAATATACGATGCCGGTCCCAGTTCCAACAGCCCGCCGACTAGTAAATTTGTATCGAAAATGCTTTAGAAGATTCTCTAAACCAAATTAAAATAATGAAGAAATAAAATTAAAATAATTTCCTAAATTTTAAGAAAATGTTTCATGAATTACTAATTTCTAAACCAAATTAGTGAGAATGATATGACGCACAATATTTGCTCAATTTGTTTATGAACTGAAATAACCAAATAAAAACATTCATCAAATAGATTGGTTTACTAGTTTGAGGACTAAATGGAATCGAACCAAATCAAACTGAATTGTTGAAATTGCTTACGAGGGTTGGTTCGGTTGATAAGGGCGTGCATGTAGTTAACCGCAATTCAAGTTCGATTCTCGCATCCAATATTTCTCGTTGGTGCGAGATATGTAAATTTCTACATAATTCTATATAAGAAGTAGCTAGCAGTTAGATGTTATGTGTAACGCTGTTGATAAGAGCAGTCAATCTCCTAATTTCTTCTTCAAAGTTAGACTTTGGAAAATTTTGAATTGTATGGCGTGTGGGAAACAAATAATTGGGTATAAAAGTTGACTTCAATATGTTTATGGATAAAGCTTAGTCTATAGCAAATTATTTAGACAAGACTTTTTACCGCGGTTTAGTTGGCGTCACCAGAATGACGTCAATATTATCACGAAAGCATGCATCAAATTAAATGGTATATCACGATCAGGTATCAACTTTAGATAAATTTATCAACAATTTCTTGGGTAAATATGCTTGCTGCTGACCATCTCATTGCAACCTTATTAAAATCTCAATCACACATATATACGTGCAGTGACGGATTTAAGATTTGGACTTCAGGGAGTTTCAATGTTAAAAGTTCCAAGTTTTTAGACAGAAACAAACATGCAAAAAACAATTAGTTTATTTACTAAGGTACCTCATGGAACACTAATAGGTTTGTTACCGTCAACTAAACTATGTTGCGTAGATGTCATCACCTATCGACATATGCCAAAACAATCTGATGAGTGATATCGAGAGAATTTGTCAAGTGATGTCAGCTCAACTTGTCGAGGCATGCATAGCAAACATTACATCAAATACTTGGTGAACACAAAAAAACATGTACCAAATAAACAGAGGGTTGTTGGAAGACGTTCACATGTATATTTCCTAGACTTCGAATGGTCCTGAGATCACTTGGTCCTAATGTGTAATGTGCATCCGCCTCTGCATGCGTGTACACATTTAGATCGTTTAAATACAATGTGAAATATAGATCACACAAAATATCCCTTCATGTATAGATAGGACTAGTAATATGCGCGCACGATGCTGCGAGACTTGAATGCACCAGCTTTAACTACATAAACAAGACACATTTAACCCGAAAAACATTCAACATAATCATGTACAAACAAAAAGGATAGATCTAGGAAATTATTAAAAGCATTGTAACCGTAGATCCAGGAAATTACAAAAATTCATCTAGTCAAGAGACAATATAATAGTTGTGGGAAGATGAGTATGCAACCAAGAATCTAAGATATACTTTGACTTGCAATTCCATTATAATTTCACACAAAAATAAAAGGACCAACTAAAGAATATATCGATATGATTTTCAACCTAGCTATAAAAAAGAGCTTTATAACAGCACAATCAACATTATTTGAACTCAACAAAAAAGAAACTGATTGCATGTTATAAATTCCATAGGTAATTTGATTTTGCAGATTAAAAAGAGTGAAAGAATATTGAAAATTACTAAACCCCATCACAACAAACCCATACCTCCCTTGCCTGTTCCCTTCAACCCTTGCAGAAAATCCTCCCATCTCTCTCACCCCTGTCCCGTCTCTCTGTCTGTGCAAATCAAAGAAAACAAACCCAAAACCAAATCCCTGAAATCCCTCGCCTAAATCCTCCCACATCTCTCTCGGACACCCCCTATCTCTGACCTGCAAACCCTAAACCAAATCTCCTAATCCTATCTTAGACCCCCCTCATCTCTCTGCCAATCGCACAAACAAAAACCCAAACCTAATCATTCAAATCCCACCAAAACCTAATCCTTGAAATCCGATCCAAACCTAATCCTTAAAACCCCTTTGTCTCAGACACCCAACACCTCTCTCCCTCAGATAGCCCTAAACGAAGTGCCTTACAGGATCGAATCGACCTGCAACACCCTCGGGCGAGATTGAGACTACTTTTCATATTTTCATTTTAATGTACTAGCAAGGAAACGATAGTATATTCCAAAATTAGCAGTTTACAGAGAAATATAAATAGAGTATGAGCCACAATCAACAACCAGTAAGACTGAACCACGGGAAATGAACAAACGAAAACCATAAATGACGACCAAAAGAGCCATCTTTACAAACACAAAAATGGTAAACAGAATGCTTGAAATTTAAGGTTTAATATGAACGGGTAAAACTGAAACAGCATAAGCTGATGCATACCAAAAGCTTGTCTCTTGTGGTATGAAGCCATATGTGAAGCCATCTGGGAATTTGTAGGCACATGAACATAATCCGTTGACTCCAAATCACTCTCAGAGTAACATGTATGCAGTGAGCTCAATCTGTTGGCAGCCTCAAAGTTCACCAAACTGTCTGAACTTCTGTTATGCGGTGAATCATTAGAACTACATGTCATTAACGCATGCCATCTACTGGCAACTGTCACTATACCTTGGGCACTACCGGAAATTTTAGTAGCTGCGTGCAAGGAAGGAATAATGCCGACAACCTGAACCATTGTGGAGACCTGAAAATTTGGAGAAGAAAGAGGAAGGAAATTTAATGCATTAAATTTTAGTCTGCAATCAATGATGATTAGAGAGTTTTCAGAGAGGTCCAGTGTTAAAAGGGGAATCCATTATGGTTTTGAATCTAAGCCTGTAAGATTGACAAGTTAATCAACGGAGAAGTAGATACACAAAAAGCATTGAACTTACTGCAAAATCGCCAATATTCATTATCCAATTAACCTAATTGTATTAAAAACCTAGCAAATCTGCATTAAATTAAGCATATTTTGCAGTAAATTATCCATCTTTTCACAGTAAAGCAATAAAAAGATCATGAGCAAGTAAATCTGGACCACTACGATCAAAATTCCAGCAATCAATAACCATAATTATAAATTTTGACAAACTTATAGTTGCTACAGTGTTTGACAATGATCATGTAATGCAGAGGCTTGGCTGAAGGAGAGGCATTGAAGAAATCCAGAAATCCTTCCATGGCAAACTTAATTGTACAACCATGGCGTGTGTGTTGTATGCTAGATGCCCCCTCTTTTAACAACACACAATAGCTTATGCAAATGCAAAGAGACTTCAACATGTTTCATTTAAAATAAGTTTACATTTTGTAGCAAATGCGTATGGCGAAATAGTCTATAAATAATCATACTGGCAACCAAACAGAACAGTTCAAAAACTTCAATGGAAATATAAATTGCAGAAAAAAACTTGAATTTCCAAACCCATTTCCAAACCCTCAAAATAAAAAATTCAACCAGAGTAAATGTAAGAAGAATTACCAAGAACTGAGAGCTGCAGACAATCAAAATGCTCATGATCTTGGTCGTGCTGATGAAATCCAAATCTGTACTTTCATGTCCTCCTCGGTCAATTCCTTGAGAAGCTTTGATATCGCCAACAATGTCTCCTCTTTGTGGTCGTGCCAACCGCATGCAATTGAAAACATTAAGCATCAAATTCAATAAGCAAGCAATAAATTTGAAATTAAGAAAGCATAAATAGCTTATTACCATCTGAGTTCTGTCAAAAACATCTCTAACGGCTCAATAAATGATACCCGGTCTGTTTCGGAACCGTTCATGGTAAAAGTCTTCCCACTACTGGTCTGCCCATAAGCAAACGCAGTGCCTGCAAATATTAAATTAAACGCAAAACACCATGAAAGCAGAACGAACAAAATTTGATAAAAAAAAAAAAAAAAAAAAAAAAAAAAACACACCCCTGCAATTAAAACAGAGAAAAGAATTTGTTCAGTGAAACACCCCCAAAAGGAAACACCAGAGCCGTTCAATGTATGCAACAAAATGATTAAGCTAAGCTCAATGTGACCAAATTTGATTTCAAATAATGTAAAAAAGTAATGAGAACTAAACTAACCTTTCTTTTTCACATGAAGTAAAATGTCTTCTATGTCGTCTTTGTAGACAATGTGCTATTCATGAACAATGTTTCCTTCAGCTTTGAAATAGTATTTGGACAAAAAAACACAAACCTGTATTCATAAATTTCAAACCATCAAATAACTAAGTGAAAAAAAATCCTAGATTTAAAATTTGTAAAAGTACTGGATAATAAATGGAGAAATTGAACGTCTAAAAATAGATATTTAAGCATGGTCTGAGCATTGGTGCCCATATCAGGTGCGGGAACAGTATGAGTTCCAATGAGGTCATGGATTTTCTCCATTTCAACCCACGATCTTCAATCCATTTCTTCACTTTATAGAGACCATTCACGGGCTTCAATTTATATACAGCCAATCTGTTTCCATCAGGGAAATTATATAAGGTGGGAACCAGAAAGAAATGCTATGCACACAGCACAGAGAAAGTGAAGCTTTTACCTGCGAAACATGGCTTCCTTGTCTTCTGTGAACTTTAAGCCTCTTTCGAAGTCATCAGGAAAGAGTATCCTGGCAACATCATCATTATGCTTCCCAGCGAAATTCTCAATATAGTACTCCTCAGTAATCGGAACACCTCCGTTGAAACCTATCTGTTAACTGTCCCACTTCAGTACACCTTTCAGTTGTATATAAAGCTTATAAAAAGTATGAGCTACTTTCATAATACGGTTGATGCACCTTTTGTACTTTTCACAGTGCAATATGAATGTAGTTAACAATAGGTAAATTTATTGCCCGACAACTCGTAAGAACAAGGAAAAGACCAAACAAAAAGAGAAGACTAATACTCTACCTCTTGTAGCATTTCACGGAAGGCATAGTAATGAATTGGATCCGAATCACACAGCGTTCCATCAATATCAAATATTACTGCTTCAAGTGGAGCAACTCCAGAGAGTGAACTTTTGCTGGTTCCACTGACACAGAAAAGAAAAATAAAAAGACAATTAGGCATCAACATCAGATGGTGTTTTAGAGAAAAGTTTCTCTATCCTGATATTTAACACACAAAATTTGAAATCTAAAGCACTTAGCATACTTGAATAAAAGAAAATTTAACTTGACAAAGAAAAACCTAAATGATCCAAACTGTGAATCGCTCACTCCATTCCTAAATAAAAGAAAACCAAACCAAGTTCACCAAGAATTATGCATGATTTTTGAGAAGTTATACAATGAATGATATAACATTGTTAAACAAACATGGATAGGAGCTGATCTTAAAATTTATTTAGAAGTGGTAAATCTTATGCAAGCCAAAGAAGATTAGGAGCAATAAATTACGAAACATTTCCAACTCTTTTTACCTAGCATATCATGTCCTTTTATTGCTTGTGAGTAAGGCCTGATTCACTTCCTTAAGCCTGGGGATCTCAGCTTCTTCAAAATGAGGCATCTCTTAACTCTAAGGAACTGACTAAAAGGGCCATCTGGTTTAACATTCATAGTGAATCTCATCACCTGTGGTTGTATTTTAAGTATCTTTAAGAACCAATCGGCCATGGTTTGTAAGCCAGGACTGAACTTAGAAAAAGATGATTCCCAGTAACATTGATACTTAAATTTGTGGTAGAAGGACTGGAGTTTTCGCTCTTTTTTCTTAAAGATAAAGAGACAAAGACTTCAATTGGATATAAGGATTTAAAAGAATGAATCCACATTTTGACAATAAGCTCAGATTTGTTAGAACCATAAAGATATAATATAATCCACGAAATGATCAGATTTAATGTAATAACTGAAACTGAAATGACTATGTCCAATGAATGATTTGAAATCCATGTAATCCTTCAATCAGATAAATACAAACATTATATCCAAGCATAAAAACATGAACCAAAATTACTATGAAACTGGAGCTTAATAAACATACGCACCTGCAGTTATTGCCTCATTAAGAATATCATTGAAACGGTGTGAATCGAGTTTAGGATCAGAACATATCACTGAACAGAACAGTCTGCAAGAGATTGAAACTATAAGTATCAAAAAACAGGAATCCAAATAACCAAAAGGATAAATGCCTGTTCATATTCCCCTTGCACCGTTTGTACCTTTAATTCAACTCCGCTTCTAGTGATCAAAGATTTTGTTCCTGGAATGCAAGCTTTAATTACAAACCGGGCATATGATAGTTGCTCGTTTTCTTGGCATCCATAAAAGCTAAAAGCTCTGCCGATTAAAACCCTTTAACCCTTTCCCCACAAAAGTTACTGCGATCTAAGGAAACCCATATGAGAACTTGATTAAGAGAAAAAAAAAAAGGCTGCGTTTTGAAATTCCTCAGTACCAGCAGCAAAAAAATATTCAATTTGAGCTTCTAAGCTAATCCGAAAAACAAAAGTTTTCATTTTCTTAGCAACCAAACAAAAAGAACCAGGGCCTTGCAATACAAAAGCAATAAGCGAATATATATTTTAAGGTTTTCAGACGATGTGCAGCAATATATGCCAAGACATGGCAAGTAAGAAGAAAGGAAGATGAGTCAAAGTCCAAAAAGAGAACTATTACAGCTCGTCTTATGAGTCAGTTTCAAGTTAGACTATGCATCGTATTCCAAAAGTGAGTAAATATTCTAGTCATGTGACACAAATGGGCAGTAAAAATTTAAGTTTATGAAGGCATCAGTAAAAAGCTCCATGGATGTAGATAACAGACTATCAAAATTTCCAAAAATAGTGAGCTCCGTTGCTGAACAAAGCCAATTGCTTTCCTACCTTCCAAACGGTAAAATATTAGAAACTACTGGCAACAGAAAAATTACCCCGAAAGAAGGCTTGAAATCAGCAGGAGCTCCATCTTTATCGCCAAAGTCACCACTGAGCGCACAGGGTCCTCCATAATACCCATCCGTGTCAACACCGAATCTACGCTCTCCATCAAAACGAGATGGATAACTGGTAAAGATGATCAGCAAACCCAAATTCTAACCAAAGTCACTTCCAATCATGTCAAAATAAATTCTCACAATTAAAAAATGTTGCGAATCAGAAAAGCAATTTCTTCCTGCATGACCAACATTATATCTACCAAAAAATTATTGGTTAAACCCAAAAACAAAGACCAACAGATTTGACAACCATTTCAATAATCTATTGTGCCTGAAATAAGTTTCAATTACTCCAACCCTTACTGCAGATTTTTGAAACTCTGAAAGCAAAACAATTTTGGTTCAAAGGTATCAAATTTAATCAATCAAACCAACTTCCTACACAAAATACATGTACATAACAACTTATCAGCCACGTAAACAAACATTTAAAAATTAATATCAAATATCAAATCAAATTCAACAAAATCAATCAAAAAATCGAAAAATTAGCAACTCCAATTAGAAAAATTAACAAAAACCTAATCTTTCTTTGGGTACCTTCAAAGAGGTACATGGAGATCTCGCAACAGTCAGAGAAATAAACAGATAAACATTTTCTTTTCCTATCATTTCAGTTTCTAAGGAACCAAACAAAGGATAAGAGGAAATTGGAGCAAATTCGAAGCGAAATGAAGAACTACAGATAAAATAGATAGCCAAAGCTTCTCAAAGCCACCCCTCCTTATTACCTCCACATACAAATGCTCCCCTCTTGAATTCACATATATAAACAGCAATTTATATTGAATCAAAGATCCATACTTTTATAATTACACTAAAAGTTTAAAACCACCTTTAAATATTCTATAAAAAAAATTCTCAGAAATGCATATCAGTCCAAGGTCTCAAGTTCTCAAAGTGGGGAATTATTGATTAGAACAGTTAATTCATTGGTCCTTTTGAACGAATCAAGCATGCCATTTGAAAACCAATGTATAGTTTTAGCATGTTTTTTTGTTAGATGATCAATCTACACATACACACGCATATGTACATGGATATATACAACATAGAAAATAAACATAACTAAAGATAAGGACCACCATCAAAATTGAACGGATAACGAAATTACCCTTGACATATCACCTTCTTTCCCATCTCTAATGCTGTCATAAGTCCCTAAAGTAGCAACCGCCTGAAACATGAAGAAAACCAGAGCAGAATACCCCACTCAGTATTATGCAAGTTCCCAAGAGTAGTCCACCACCTCATAACCTACTGCTAAACTACAAATGCAGTTCAGATTGACCATCAAATTACACATTCACCAGCCAGAAATCAAAAGCCTAAATTATGGACATTCATTAAAAGAGTATGTAAATAAGAAACGAAAAAGGAACCTGCATTTGGTTTCTTGAGAAGCAAAGGGCAGAAAGCAACCAAAACACAGACAAATGAACACGGTGCAAATCAATCAAAATCCACTTAATCCATATATAAGAAGAAACACTCTACGCATATACTTTGAGTAACATAAATTATACTGAAAAATTGAAATTATTATTGATTAAGCCCACCAAAGTTTCTCAATCACTTCGAATGTCAACTCATTGTTTGCAAAAGATATACAAAATATTATATTAGTTGGGTTACACAGGGTAATGCACTGTTACAGTGATTCTCACATGTTGAAAGACCGACAATCAGATTGTTGCACGTGCAAAAAACATGATTATACAAATCATATATAAGAGAAAGTACTATATAGGTATACTTCAAAGTAACAAACTTTATACGAAAAATCGAAATTATTATAGAGTAAGGACAACTACATTATACAATCAACTTCGAAGTGTTATCCATTGGTAAATTTTCAGTATTAATTCTATTGGATTATCCATAAGAAATTAAGAATCCAAAACTGCATCAATTCTTAGTTCAAAGTTCAAACCTACAGCCACTGTGCTTATGTGGTCTAGACCCAAACAGTACGAAAATCCAAGCAAAACAACCGAGGAAGTCTTTTTACCTAGCCGCAGCATGAGCTGTGTCAAATCCACCTACATGTCAAAACCCTATACTTAAGTTTCATAAAAAAAAATTTAAAAAAAAATAATAATAATTCCAAATAGAAAATCATGACAAAAAATTGGATTAATTGACACTAATCCAAGTCAATGAAATAGCCAAGGTTAAGAATCCATACCCGAATACACTTGTTTCGCACAGTTCCTGCACCCAATCAAAAATCAATAAATGGTACTAATACCAAATTTGAAAGAAAGTATTTGCATCTTGCATTCAAATTCCAAAAATCAACTCAAAAGAAAATAACCCATAAAAAATTAAATTAGAGTAAGCAAACCCAAATTAAGTAAATCAAACACTTCCAGACATAATGTCAAATATAAAAAAGAATTTTCCCTCGCCAGAAACCAAGAACCCTAATCTGATCAATGCCCCATTAAAAACAACCAACTAATCAAAACTTCCAAACCGACTGCAGTGGCGGACTGCAAACAATTTTCTTTTGCTTAGCGGGAGAAATGGAGGCTCTGGGATTGTTGGGGAAATGATGGAAGCCCATAATTTTGAAACCCCAGAGAGAGGAAGCTCCGAGTTACAGAAATGGAGGCAGGAGCCGATGCTATTGAAGAGATCAGCTCAGTTTTGGGGTTCTGGCTGCCAGGGTTTGAGAAAGGGGAAAGGAAGGCCAAATGCACACAGCCATGCTTTCTCCTCTCTCTCTCTCTCTCTCTCTCCCTGTCCATCTCTCTCTGTAAAATCAGAGAAAATCGCATAGGCCCTAACCTACCTAAATCTCTCTCTCACTCAGTCCACACCCGTAGCTCCCATCTCTCTCCAATCTGTCAGTCCCTCTGTCCCCCTCCTCTCCTCCCCCAACAACCCTCTGACCGATGCATCAACCACAGGACAAAATAAGCCAGCTTTTAATTCTGTTTACTGCCTTTAATACCTGGTGAGTAAATGGAAACTGGAAAGCTTAGAGCAACTCCAGCGGGATGAATTGCTGGAGGGACCGTGGGTGGAACAGGGCCGGATCGCCCGAGGGAGGAAAAACAGAAACAAAAATACTTATATATATATATATATATATAGCATAGTGGAGAAGAGAGAAGGAGAGAATAGGGAAAAGGAAAGAAGAGAGTCGGAGGAAAAACAGAGGAAAAAAGAAAAAAAAAGGGATTGGGCAAAGCTGCCCAACCTGGAAGAAGAAGAGAGGGCGAATTAGGAGAAGAGAGAAGGAGAGGATGGCCAACCAGAAGAGGGAAAGGAGGGAAAGGAGGGAGAAGGAAAATGAGGGGAGCAGTAGGGTTTTTTTTCGACCCGCGCGAAGACCTGGTTTTGTAGGGTGGTTTCCCGACGGCTTTCCGTCCAAATTTTCGGTTTTCTTCAACCTCCCATCACCCTCAAACACTCTCAAGATATCCCAGCATCCAATTCGACCCAAAAATCAACGAGTTTTGTTGTGATTTCGTGAAGAACACCCACACGGGTGCCGTGAGATCTTTGCTCCAAATCTACCATTTCTGAAACAATTTCTTTCAATTACCACTACCCATACACTTCCTTGAGCCTAGAAACAATGCCCAATTGTTGGTTGGGGCGGTGGAGTTGAGTAGAGGACGAATCAATCACACCCAAAACTAGGGTTTCCGATGGGTTTTGATAAAATTGGAGCATTTTCAAGCAAAATTGGCCTTGGTCACAGGTATGAAAGTTGTTCTACTCATTGAGATCTTCAAATCTGCAAATTTTAGTAATTTTTAGAGATAGTTGATTTTTCTGGCGAGTCGGGATGGCCAACCACCACCCACGGCGACGCATAGCCAGAGGGCCGCCAATGCTATTTTTAGGCTATATGTGATGTCTTGAATTCATTTTTTAGAATTGAATGACGTAGATTGATTGTTAGAGCCAAAATTCTCTAAGATACGTTAATATGCCATTATATGAATCAACGATCCGACTGTTGGATCGTCATCCAATTTTACTAGGTTATTATTCATAATTTTTTAGGAATATAGGAACTTACGGATTGGGAATCCGACGTACGGATCTTCTCGAATTGGATTGGTAAGTTCGTAAAATAAAATGTTAACCGCCACTTAGTTTTGGCAATTGGCGGAGATCCGACGGTTGGATCGTTTCGAAAATTTAGTATGTTATTCTATAAGTATAATGTGGATCCTTGAAAGTTACGGATCAGAGATCTGAGTTGTAGATCTTCTGGACCGAATTGCGTAGACTTATGTGCGATGTAAGTTATGTATTGTATTAACGAGAATTCTGAGATATGGTTTGATAATTGGTCAGAGGCGCCGATCGTTTGGGACGCCTTGATGTTCGTGCTAGGAAGTTGTAGCGCGGACTCCAGGTGAGTGGATCTTTCCTTGCTCATCATATGTTTCATGATTGATAATTATATAAATGCTTTTAAATAAAACTGAGAAATTTATGTCATGACATAAATATATATATATATATATATATTTATACGTTATAATTTACTATGAGATGGTTTAGTTAGATTTCATTGTGATCTATCCATATGCGTATCACTATAAATTATTATTGCAAACTACGAATGGCTTGATCCCTGTTTAGGGTAGTAGGCAGTCTAACGAGACGTTAGATGCAACTATATAAGAAATGAGATTAAATAATCGAGACCATAGCCTTATTTAAGGAATTGAGCAATGTGTGTGGACTTTTGGTTTTAAGTATATATGTATACGCTTGATGTTTTTCCTAGAAAATGCAATTAAATGATTTATGCTTTAAAAATGCCATACCTATTGAATAATGCTTAAACGATGAGTTGAATTGTTTACATATATATATATATATATATATATATATATATATATATATAATTGTGGTGTTGTGAAAGCTCTGAAGTGCAAAAGTGAACGCAGGACACACAGGTAAATTCAGGTAAGTTCAAGTAAGTATACGGTATTAGTTGAATTGATGGGGTTATGATATAACTACATTTTCGTTTTTAGCAACTCCGACACTGTCATATAAGTTGCAATAATAGGCAATTCCGGCATTGTCGTACAGGTTGCCTATGAGTCATACATGTTGTATTAGATGCATTTAAAGCTTATAAACTTGCACCCCGGGTGATTTTGATTTAGCCAGAGATATGGTACATGCCTATTTATAATGTTACATCCCACACCCTATGCTCACATTGGATCCAATTTAGGTGCACAGTCTTATCGTACAGACCACCATAGGTGGTTCCGACTCGTAGGTGACTAGCGATTTATCGCATGGCTATCTTGAGTGTGTAGAATTGAGCATAACTATATTACACCCAGTCTTGTCGTACAGACATTTTCAATGGTTCCGACTTGTGTGCAGAGTATGTCGTATAGGTCACTAGAGCTGACTCTGACTTACATGCTAGCCATGATTGATGAGATATGTGAAAAGATATAAATATGTTGTATAGGTCACTAGAGGTGACTCTAACTTATATGCTAGCCATGATTGATGAGATATGAATATGTCGTATAGGTCACTAGAGATGACTCCGACTTACATGCTAGCCATGATGGATGAGATATGTGATGAGATATGAATATGTCGATATATCACTAGAGGTGACTTCAACTTAGATGCTAGCATATAATTATGATGGGATATATGATGAAATGCTAGCATATATATAATGAATATATGTGATGAGCTAACATATGTGGTGAATACGTGATGAGCTAGCAGACGTGATGAATATGCAATAAGTTAACATATGATTATAAATATGTGAAGCATGACTTGAATCGATATATGTATATAAAGATGTATATTTTTATATTCTAAGTCTAGAAATTATACAGGTGTTGTAGTGATGGGTTATAGAAATTTACATGATTTCTATTAAAATTTCATTTACTGGGCCACTCACCTTTGTCTTGTCTTCCTCCCCAGGTCTTCTTAGCTGAGCTTTCTTATCGTCGAGGAATCGTGACAATTCTTAGTATTGAAGATTATTCGAGGGTACGATTCTTAATTCACTCTTCTGTACTTGCTTATGCTCTAACGTCACGTGAGAAGTGAGTTTATTCCCGCTCACCAGTGCACTCTGGTATTTAGGCACTTTTAGGTTTAAATTTATTCACAATATTTCCACATCATCTCACTTTATGGCTTCATCACCTTCCAGGTGTTGGCCAGCACAGATCGATTCAGAGTCCTAGTGGACATTCCGGGTCTGGGTGTGTCATGCTAAATCCTATTTAAAAAAAAAAATTAAAAACAATCCTAAATGCCTTATTTAAATCAAAATTTATACAGAGTAAGGAGGTTAAAAAGATTTGATAAGCTAATTAAACCTCAGGCAGAGTGTCACTCACACATGCCAAACTATACTATATCCCAAACCTCACTTAAAAATACACCAAAAAATTGGAATGATTTCATTCTAATCTCAAAACAGAAGGCCAAATATTGAGCATTAACTAATGAGAACTAAAATATGTATAAACTCAAGAATTCAAAGTTTCAAATGTGCCATGCCTTGGAAAAAAGTACAACCAAGATTTGGCAACCTTGGCCTATCAGATACCCCCAAAACAAAAATAACAAAGATCAATAAAAAAAAAGGTCAAAAGTTTAGAACAACAAACAACATAAAAAATTACAGAACGCTGAAAATAATATAACTCGTGCAGCACGTAGACTACATACTTAAAAGAAGTAACAACCTGCCCAACTTTTACTGCTTGCAGCAACTTTTCCTCTGTGAGAAAATCACAATAGCCTAGCAAATAAGATGTTACACCAATGAGTGTGAGTCAGCATTGTTGAACAACAAAAATATACAAAATAAAAAAAATAGAGTCCATACAAATTGAGTCAAACTACAAGGTAAAACAAATGTAATCCAACCCAAAAGATGAAGATGGGCTTTACATATTGGCAAGATAGAACAGAACGGAACAGGACGGGACAGAACAAAGATTTCGTGTCATGTTTGATACTAGCAAGATAGAACAGAATAGAACAGGATTAAATGACTAACTTACCTTTTTATTTGACTCTCTCTCTCTTCCGTTTCTCTACTTTCTCTTCTTCCATATGTTTCTTGTTCTTCGCATGCCCAGATTGATCCTAGTAAAAATCAAAACCATACCTTCTCTTCATTTCATTTTCTTTTTCTTCAATTCAAACCCATATTTCTCTTCTTTTAATTTCTTTCTCTTCAAACCAAACACAGAAAAAAATCCCAAATTGTTTTTTTTTTTCAATTTACAGAGGCTTTATCGGAGCGTCGGAGAAGAAGGTAGAGCGCGGAGGGACTGAACCGGCAGCCGTGGTCTCCTCTCTGCTATGCGACAGAACCGGGTTTGGTGTTTGTTTGTTTGGGGGTTTTGGTGGAAATTGAATTTAGAGATCGATCGATCGATCATCGATGGCAAAAGTTTTGAGCAAAACCAGCCTGTTGTCGTCCTGGCATCATCATCATCAAAACCAAAAAATCAGTATCTTTGTTTTCCCAAAGAGTTGTAATTACAATAAATCAGGGTCTTTCTCTTGCTCTTTCAAACTGAATCTGGACATTTCATCACTATCCTTGTCCACAACAAAGAGTGATTTTCACGAAAAAATGATTGCTTTTGGGTTGCTGGGTTGGTGGTGGAGGAGGAGGCTACAAGAGAGAGGGAGGGTAATGAAGCTACGGGAGATAGGGAGGCTATGGGAGAAAGAGGGAGGGTAGACAGTGGAATTAAAGAAAAAGAGAAGGGGTATTGTTGTCCAAAAAAATTATAATTTTTTGTCACATGGGTTGGAACAAGTCGTTCCAGGGGTAAGGTGGAACCAAAAAATGACTAAAATTCGTTTTATGGGACGATGTATCTCAATCAATTTGGCGCACCAGATATGGGACGGAATGTCTCGTCCCACTGCGTTCCGTCCTGTCCCACTCGGTACCACAGGAAAGGGACCGGGACAGGGACAGAATACGGGCTCGGGATCGTGATAGGGGCAGGGATTCTGACCGAGAACGAGATCGAGAGGAGGCCGAGAGGGACAGAAACAGGGATCGGAGTCGTCGTTCAAAGGATAGAGCAAATGATTCAGGGGGCATTCAGACAAATCGAGGCATCACTCATCACGCGATCGTGACTATGACAGTTCCTCGTATTCTTCCCGGGATAAGGATCGCCATAGACATCATTCGTATGCTTGAACTAATCGTCAAGACGCCTCTCCTTTTCCCTTATAAGTGAACGAAACTGAACGTACTTTGGCTGCATTTTTGCAATTTTTCAGACGTAAAAGTGAATTAGATTTTGGTAGGATGTGTGCAATGCACAGCATTGATCCTTCTAAATCTTCGTTCTGTTGTTGGATAGTTGAATTACTTGTGATATCCTTACATCCTTCTTGGTTGAGAACCAAACTTGTACCTCCGAAGTGTCGTAATTTCTGCACTCTTTTTTTTTCCTTTCTCATGTCTACATGTGAAAACAAAATTAATAATTTTTTTATTTTAAAATGTATATGATAAGTACGTGTATTAAACTTGAGAGTACAACTACGGTCTCATTTGGAAGTGTTTTTAAAATTATTGAAAACACTTTTGGTGAAAATGTTATTCAAACCAATCATTAGTAAAAATGCAAGCAAATCCTAAAAAATCATTTGAAGTGCTTTTCGCTAGGGATAATGCTAGGGAGATCAAAGTTTTAAAACCAAATAAAGTGGTTATTGATGATTGGATTGTTACTTAAGTGTTGATTAACGGACTTATTACTTATTGGTGACACATCATTTGGTTTGCAAATTTGGTTTAAAATTTTGATCTCCTTAGCATTATCCTCTAACCAAAAGTGTTTTCAGTCATTTAAAAAACACATCCAAACGAGACATACACCACCATCATACCATAATTACTAATTATAACTAATTAACTAGTGATTAGCAAACTAATTATTTCGTGGGTAAAACTAAAACTTGTAAATCCTCATATTTTCGAAAACCGCTCTGCGCACTTTGGCTTCCTCCACTTCCAGCTTCAGCTGCTCGTCACTCTCGAGCCTCGTTTGGTCTACAGGATTGGATTCGAGCGTGTTAAACACGTACAGCATGCAGTCCGGAAACTGCTCAAACCGGCCTTCCTCAATGCGGTTCAAAGCAGCCCTTCTCTGAGTGCAACTGCAACCCAGCACGAATATTCGAGTACGAGGAATGTCGTGTTTGGATGAGGGACAGTATGGGATCCAACCCATCTTCATCTTCTTCAACGGGACGATTTCCTTAAAATCGTTTTCGGGATGTTCGGATTGCTATCTCTGAGGGAAGGCGGAGAAGGCGGCACGACCGCCACCAGAGTTGGTATAACAACATGTTCATATTCATTCTCCGTACTCCGGAAGAGGTAGACATTGTTGTTATTGTCAAAAGTGTCGATACGGAGCTTTCGGCCTTGTTCGAAAGCTTGTCGGAGATTAGAGAAGTCCCCCTTGAAGTTGTTGTGCACTTGTTCCAGCTGATCCCAGTCTTCTATCCCGAAAGGCAACGCCGCCTTCAGTAGGTCCTCCTCCAAGTACTCCGCTCCGGGCGGCTGGACCTGCTTTCGCTTTTGTAACGGCAGATCAATGTTGGTGGTGGAATTGCTAAACTGTTCATCCTCCACTTTCTCTCCCTCGTTTTACAAGATATTCGCAACAGGTTTTGCCGTCCTCTTAACTCCTCCATTCCGCATTCTTTTTTCTTTCGAGCAAAAACGCTTACGAGCGAAAGTGCTTCTCTAATATAAACAACTGTTTTGTTCCCGAGTCCAGTTAATTTCTGTTAGGAAAAAGAAATCAAATTATCACATGCTGAAATAGGCATTTGGCAAGCAGGATCCCATTTGAAATTTGCTTTTGGATAGGCAAAAATGTTTTACGACAATCAAAAGCGCTCCTAGTTAAGTTTTTTTAAAGAAAATTTGCGTTTTTTGGTCTGAAAGCAACTTTTTTGTGAAGCAGTTGAATTAATCAAATTTTTTACTAAGGACTCAGTCAAATTTTTTTTTTAAGAAGTACTTTTGCACAATCATTATATTAAAATTCAAAATTTTTTTAGGACTCATTCGCAACTTACAAACAAAGCACTTGGAAATAATTTCTGAAGAAGCATCTCATACGCGCTTTTTCAAAAAACACTTCTATAATACATGAGTACTTTCATTTTCTTGTCAACCGCAGTCATAAGCATTGTTAGTTGTCATGAACACTTTTAATCATGCCAAAAATCATCGAGGCAGATGCTTGGACTACAAGAAAGATCAAAATTTAGAGATTTTATAATTCTCTGATAGATTATTGAATTTGACGTTTATCAATCAATGAAATGCTTTGTAATATCAAATGCGTTGTTGTAGTATCGAGCATTTATATCTACATTTCACACTGCATTAACATGAATGCTCGATACTACAAAGTATTCGTGATGTCCCCTTACAAGGGTACAAAGATTTGCCATAGTTAATGTGGCCTCTCTCATTTTTCGGCTTGAACTTTAACTGCTTCATGTTCCAAAACCATCCTTAACTAACTAAACATGTTTTGTCCCGGAAGATTTCATAAAGGACCCCAACTAACTAATCACTAGCTAATATTTGTCACAGAATTTCTACGGCCATTTTTCGACCGGCCGGTGTAATGGCGGGACTCAAAACGAAAGAAGAAATTCATTGACGGTCAGGCAGATGATGCTTGGGCAGCGGCATTGAAGGTGAGCGGCTTGATGTCCATGGAACGCATGTAACTCAAAAACTGTCCGGGCAGCTCTTCCAGAAGACCTTGAACAACAGAAATCTGCCCACCTGCTTACAAGTTACAAACCCCACAGATTGCCAAATTAGTACAGGATGAAAGAAAGTCTGAACTCAGTTCTAGTAACTTCGCATCACACGATGTTGACGTGCACCTAAAGGTACAATGGATGTTTAGAAGGAGAAATGGAGGTCATGGATACTTACTCTGCACATCTCTCATTGGAACGAACTGGACAATGTCACGCGTAGCTATGCGACCTGTAGAACTTTCTAATCGTTGCCCGTTGTCAGCGTCAAGGATCTGCCAAATACAAAAGATTCAGACGAAACTTCATGATATGCAGAAATAAAAAACCAGTATATGAAAATCCTGAATAACCACAAGTATTACCTCCATTTGTTTGAAATCCGCGTTACCAACTCCAACGATGAGGATTGATAGAGGAAGATTAGATGCCCTCACCAAAGCATCTTTTGTTTCTTGAAGGTCAGTGAGGATTCCATCCTAGAAAACAAGATGGCATTCATATTATCATTTTTTGTAAAACAAAGAACCCAGGAGTTAAAAATTCAATTTGAATTCATCGTGCTCTTACTGTTATAATGAGCAAGACGTAGTACTTGTTGTTGTTGGACGAGAGGGACCTGGCGGCAATTTCAGCAGCCCTGTTAACCACTTGGCCAAACAACGTCGGTCCTGACAGAGCAACATTGCGTAGAGCATTGGCATAAGCAGCCATTATGCCTTCAACTCCGACAACCTGTTAAATAAATGACACGATTGAATTTACTGAGATGGTAAAACAAAATATAGTTCAGGTGTATTGAATGAGATTGCAAACAAAGGGTAAAAGAGCATTGCAAAGGGTTAAACTACTCCTTTACCTCAGATTCACTTGCATTTCCATTCAAGTTGAAGCAGTGTGATACAGTTCCATTAGCCGTCCTTCCTCCAAAGCCCCAAGCAGGAAAACTCTTATCAGCATCATAGAACTGAATGACTTGTCCTACTTCTGTTATAACCTGCAAAGGAAAACATCTAATCAATCAATATGCTTTCACTAACTATCGAACAGAAAAGTACCCATAACAACTAACCCTCGAGAACAAATGACCTTAATTATGTACGAATTCAATACACGTCTGCAAAAAGAATATGGTGGATAAGATAGAACTATCCCTATTGAAGCACATGCTTACCTGCTGGTAAGAATTCAGCCGGCCATAAGGATCAATATAGTGCAAAGACTCGGGCTTTCTAGGATCTCCATTTGAACCTGGACAAAATTTAATATTCGAAACAAGAAAGTATATCAAACCCATGAACTTTTGCAGAGTGAAGACTGAATTAAATTACTAGACTATCCGACATTGCTTACCCGTAAAATCAACTGCAACCATGAAGTTAAGCTCAAATCCACTAGATATATAGTCAACAAAGCTGAATTGTTCTTTCTCACAAAATTGATCCACAAATAGCTGACCCTTCAAAACCTACGTTAGCATATTACAAAGCAAACGTGAGTAAATTCAAATTGACATGAAATACTAAGGAATTGGACTGCAAGATTGAATAAATACCTTTTCATGACCCGCACGAGAAGATGGAATAAAAAAGTTCACCCCACTTTTTTCTTTGAATAGTTTTTCAAGGTCTGCTACTGATTTTTGGAGTTTCCTGAGTAAAACGAATAGAGAGGTTAATTACAAAACAATGATATCATGCAAGAAGTAACAAAATAAAGACTTGGAACCAATCAATAATTACCCAATAAGAATGTGGTTGCCATTGCTGTTGAAATCAAAACACTCAAAAACCAGTGGGGTGTCCTGAATCAAATTGAAGAAAGTTATATGATCTCTCTATCGTATTTCTCAATTACCAAAATTTATATACTCTAATTTAACAGGTAACCAAGCAATAATTCACAAGCTTACCTTGCTTCCGAACTGTTGCATACTCAGGCATAATGGTTTCCAGGTCGGGTTTAAATTGTTATCCACCACCTCAGTCTTGCAAATTGGAATAGAACCCCCAGTCTCAACAGTTCTTGATATTCTTAAGAAAGGATCCTGAAGTGAAGAATCGGGAAAGAAACCTAAGAATCATACAATATAAGAAATTTGTATATACAAGTAAAAATATCGCACGAAGCTTCTTTGAAATGCGTACGCTTTTAGAAAAGAGATCTTTGTTGTCCAAGTGGGCACAGCGGAATTTAATCTCTACAGCACTCGTAGAAGCAATAGTTTCCTCGGCATGCACGGTGAGTGTTCCAAAGTTTCTCAAACCTCCAAGCCCGTTTTTGCCGTTCAGAGTCAATGTTAAACTTCGATTTTGTTTAGTCACAATCTGCCGTCAGAAAAGAGAGTACACAGCAAAATATAAATTAGGTTTGACTTCATTTACTAGAAAACTATGAAATCTTAGGTACTGATTTCAATACATTTTGGGCAACAGTTTTGCATTTGATTAAATAAAGGAAACCACTACAAGCTATATCGATATCTTTCCTTAGCTGCATCAACGGTGAGCAGAATAGAAACACATAACTCGAAGTATTAATTAAATGAGTCTATATACATATCACACCAGCTCAATGAAAATATATGAGCTGAATAGATTTCAAGAGAAT